ATGTTTCGTTTCCATTAGCCCGATTGGTGCAGAAAAGTAGAAAGTTAACCACATATCGTTGAAACTTTCCATAAAATGTTGACGGAACACTTTTAAATAGTGATTATTTGGGGGTAAATACACTTTATTAAGAAATTTGACAGCCATTTTGAAAATATGACTGGCACCATGTGAAAAATTAACTTTTTTTTACCCACAAATTCATTTTTTTTTAACCCCAAAATAGTAAAAGTCATTTGTTTCGGCCCAAAATAGTAAAATATTTTTTTTTTAGCCCAAAATAGTCAAATTCGTTATTTTCGAGATGTTTTGCGTTTGAAGAATTAAAAAAAAAAATCTTAAATTAAATCATTAAATGTCAGACGTGTTTCCATCCGTTCAAATCTCCGCCACCCTGTGGTCTAAAGATTATAGGCTTGCTCTGTGAATAAACATCTAAATAATAATTTATATAACATTTGAAGCCAAATCAAAACATGCAATAGGCAGATTTAGCTCTTACATAATGCATGTGTAAGTATAGATTAATGGTCGGGAGGGCGACATTAAGTAATATATTGAAACGACACGAGATACGTCAGTCCCCGAGTTGTTATTTCAATTTATTACGCAATGTCTTAAAATACAGACGTCACGCGGGTCCAAAATTTCAACTAGTATAAATAATGTACGCTAAGTACATTAGTCGTACCATTATTTGAAATAATGATACGCTAACATCAAGGATGACGTCACATCGGTATTTTAAAGGGCCAATCCCGATAATATTTTGGAGAATAAAACTGCTTAATTTTGTGTTAAAATCCCTTAAAATTCTTTACCTTAGGACCGAGCAACTAACTCAACATATGTGATACGTTTTTATACAACTTAAACCCGTCAGTCTTCATCTGGAAATGGAGACCGGTGCCCGAAGCTGTATTATGCGGTGTCTGGATGTAACCGGACTTTTATTTTATAAAAATAATGTGTAGGTGAAATTTACCTTTCGTTATCAAGTACAGCACATGGGTCATTCATTGTATAGACCTCTGACGGAACGAGAATTGATTAACAGGTCATCCAACGAAAAAATTTACCCAAAATCTTAAAAGAGTTACGTGTCCGGATAAGCAGTTTCGACGTTCATGCCCAAACGACTTAATATTTTGAGCTGAAATTTTGAGGCAAGGTAAATACACCATTCCTCTATATTTTGGCGCTTAAATTTCATACGTACTCAGACTTTTATTTTTGAGACTCTGTTCAAATCGGGACAATCCCTTTAACTATGACTATTGTGTTACTATTGTGTCACAATGTCATCGTATTAATTCATAATAAAAATTGACGTCAAACAGGATGTTGCATTTCTCTGCTTAAAAAGATCAATGTGTATGTATATACGCCAAAATGACGATAGAGACCATGTATTTCTCAAAAGATTTCAAGCCGGGGGGTGGGGGGAGGAGGATACATTTTCTCAGGAACCGGGCAAACCCACTCCTGCAAAAATTCCTGGATCCGCCACTGCAGATGGCGTTCCATCTTTGATGCGTGTACAACGTCATATCTGCCCACAAAATAGTGACGTCATTACTCGGTCGCCTTGAAAATAACCAATCAAATATATATATAGAGAGAGAGAGAGAGAAATGGGGTTTAACGTCCACTCGACACAAACTAGGTCATTTCGGGACTAACATATGGTTTAATTTTATTTACATAATTCGCTTGCGCGTAGGGGTCTTTAGCAGTGGGAGGAAACCGGAGGACCCGGAGAAAACCCACGAGGTTGGACAGGCGACCCTACTCCTTGCCACGTACAACCGGGGATTCGAAACCACGCCAGTCGACTCAATGACAGACTTTATGATACAGCGCGCGCACGCTAACCATTCAGCCATCCAACCCCCCCCCCCCCCAATCAAATATAGAAGGAAGTGAGTTTCTGTTTTCCTTTCATTAGTTATATCTTTCTATTTAGCAAAGTTGGTTGTTTTCTTAAAAAAAAAATCTGTGACATCCTTAATTTAGATCGGTTAAGATTAATCAAGATTAAGTCATCAATGCTGTGTAGCGTAAGAAGAAACCATCTGCTGGGCGAAGAAATAATGGATTTTTGAATATTTTATAGATGTTATACGTGTGGGTTGGGATGTAATCAAACTGTCCATCACAATCATCAAATGATCAGGAATCAATTTAAGTAGCTGCCAATTCACGAACTGTAATTAACATCATTAACCTTTCTGAATAACGCTAATTAAATGTCAATAGGAAACCTACTATACATATACATGAAATACGCACATGCCATATTCTATGTCATGTTTTTCTTTCCAGAGAGAGAGAGAGCGAGAGAGAGCGAGCGAGCGAGAGAGAGAGAGAGAGATAGAGAGTTATGGGGTTTAACGTCCACTCGACACAAACCAAGTCATTTCGGGACAAACGTATGGTTCACTTTTATTTCAATAATTCACTTGCCCGTAGGGGTCTTTAGCAGTGGGGAGGAAACCGGAGGACCCGGAGAAAACCCACGAGGTTGGACAGGCGACCGTACTCCTTTTCACGTACAACCCGGGAATCGAAACCACACCAGTTGACTCAATGACAGACCTTATGATACAGCGCGCACGTGCTAACCATTCGACCACCCACCCCGCCCCCTTTCCAGAAAAAGACATTCTGCCGAAGTCTATTGACAATTATTGATAATAATTAATGGAAATGTATATTTTTAAAGATGATATTCAATTCTGTATTAATTCTGTAGTCAAATTTGTTTACTCTGTATGAGTCTTATGGTATTCAATATGCAATGGTCTTAATTCTTTAGACAAATTGACTAATAGTCTTAATAATTTTTTTTTACCCTGTATGAGTCTAATAAGGAACAAAAATAGGCCTGCATATTAAAAGAATTATATTCATTAATTATGAAATGGTCAAATTTAGTTTTAATTTAATTTCATCTACTGAAAGATATTGATAGCGTCAGTTATTTTTATTTTTATTTTTATAAAAAGTATTTTTAAAAGATGAAATTACTTATCGAGCCACCTTGACTCCAAACAGTAATGGACTAATAAACTTTAAAATACAGATGTGACGTCATCCTTTGATGTTGGCGTACATTATTTACATTAGTTAAAATTTTGGACCCGTATGACGTATTTCATTGTAAAGCACGTGCGAGTGCCTGTATTTTAAGTTGTTTAATGGTCTCGAGCTTAAGACAATGTTTAACATATTGAAACAACTACTCGTGACTAACATCACTCGTGTTGTTTCAATATGTTACTTATAATGTCTCGCTCTCAACCGTGAAACCACACACAACACATACCTATGGAAAACAGCTACCAATTTATTAATTTGTATTGTACTAGTATATAACAGATACAGCAAAAAATGTTCTTAGTATCTTTGAGGGATAGTATTTGGAAATGTGAAAGGATTAATTTGGAGTCGGTAACGGTTAACGTACAATCGACACAAACTAGGTCATTTCGGGACAAACATATGGTTCAATTTTATTTCAATAATTCGCTTGCGCGTAGGGGAATCGAAACCACGCCAATTGTACGTAACAAGGAGTAATGTCGCCCGTTCAACCGCGTACTCGAGCGTCGTTTATTTCGAATACATTGTGCTAATCCCTCCAGATTCCAACTGTACAAATCATGCACTTTGGTTGTTGGTGTCTTTCTTAACCAAACATCAGATGAGGTCAATAAAATGTTCTTTTATGTAAATTATCTGATTACAGATAGACAGGTATTCAGTGACCTTGATACAAGATAACATCAAAACTACGTGTTATCTTATCATAATAATTTTAAAAAACAATAGAGCCACGTGTGGACACGTGTGGAAAGTTCACATTGGTAACTACATTATACTAAACAGCAAAAAAAAATTCAGAGAGGCACTTTAATCAAATCATTCTAGAAAACGACTTACTATAGATCAAAGTAATTTTTTTTGAACAGTATATTGACACATTAGTGATTAATTCATCACAATTCCAAGACATTACGAGAAGGTTTAGAGTCTGTACACAGTCTATACATCAGTATCTGGTGTGTCCACCTCGAGTGTCAATAACAGCAGATATAGTCACAAACATAGAATAAAAACATTTGACAAGTTTTCTGCAATGCTTCTATCCAAAGTAACATAATAATCCGACGTTTCTTTTGCTGCTTGGTAGATATTATACTTGTTATTATCTAGAAATGGTTCCACTACTCCAGCCACAGTAGTGGACCGTCCTAAGGCCTTCCTTTGACCAAGTTTTGTAGTCATTTGATTACAAAAAAGTTACTGGCCTATACCTCCCTTAATTTTCAATTACACTGACCTCGAACGGTACTGTATATAGCTTAACATATAATAAACCAATTCTCATTGCAATAAAGGCGAAACTTTACCGCATAATTATATGATTTGATTAGACCCAACTGCTATGCGAAATTTTTGTTCAGTTAAAATGGCTGCCGTAGCAAAATCACGTGATATTATATCACTCGAAAATACAGAAAAACTATTCGGTATGATGAAATTAAGATTTCTGTGTTCCACTCTTCACTATTTGTAACATTATCACTTATTTCCATGCAAACTATGATGATATATGTGTTGAGAATTTTGTAACTGAACCTAATTTTACTTGCGTAAAGAGTCGAATAATGTATCAATTGTTGCCGTAGATAACAATTATCTCTGCTAAAAATTGCAGCTAGTTATTTTCGTGTATTGATAGCAATTACACACTAAAAACTATTTATGGATAACAATTACTGGTTTATTAACATGCAACGTTACGACGATCATGTCTTCCCCTTTAACAAGGCACACAGAAAGACACAGTTTAACTTCATTAGGTAGTCAGGAGTTAAGCTCGTAATAAGGTATTTGTGAACAGAGAACGCTGTAACTTTTTAGTTTGAACAATATTTTATTCATTTGAAAAGCCTATATAAGTTTTTTTCCCATAAGTATCTGTTTGTATCCATCGTGTGTGAGTATTATTCGTAAGTCGTGGCATGCTGCTGACGTTGTAGTGTGAAGTTATTAAAACTTAAATTGAGTTTTAGCAATTAAAGACATTCTGCTTTCATAGCATCTGGTATAACGATATATACCATATTATAGGCTTCTAGCTGGAGCGTGCCTTGACTGTAGAGGGGTCTCAAGGGAGGTAACTCATAATCATTAGGTAACCTCAGAACTACTCCATTTAGTTTTACAAATCTGAAATTATGACAAAAATATTAATAAGTATACATAATAAAATTAAAAAATACTGATTATTATGCTTTTCAACCATCTTCATTAGCATACATACTATTCGATAACATGTAAGAAATACAGTCTCCCCCCCCCCCCCCTGTGAAGAATTTTTCGGCCATAAAAAAATGGATATACTTTGTCCGTCAATTTAACAGCACCCCTGAGAACACTTCTTGCCCCCCCCCCCTCGTTGCGGCCCTGGAGAAATATCCATTATATAAAAAAGGATATTCATTAAAAAACAATTTTAAAATAGTAATTAAAGATGTAAGATTTAGATAAAGAACTGACCGTTCTCGCTATAATAGTTTACACAATAGATAATGTTGAAATGTCCAGTCAAATTACTTCATTCTGAGCTAAGTTAGAGCTGTTTAGAGAATAGTCAATGCTACATCTGTCTCGATTATCCATTTTTAATTAAATGATTAAATGTCAATCGTTTTTAAATCCGTTGAAAATCAAGAGCATCTGATAACCTAGAGAGTTGGTTATATTTTTTCATATTAATAAATGTCTTATTAATAATTTATATAACCTATAAGGCCTAAAGAAAGACTTGCAACAGGTAGATTTAGCTCATGCATAATGTATGTTTAATCTAAATGTTTAATAGTTTATACAATATTTAAGGCCTAAAGAATAGGCAGATTTAACTCTTGAATAATATATGTTTAATAAACAATTTTAAAATATTCATTAACATACAAATATGAAAAATATTCATTAAATATACTGATGGAAAATATTCATTGAATATCTAAATCATAAATATTCATTGAATATCTAAATCATAAATATTCATTGAATATCTAAATCATAAATATTCATTGAATATCTAAATCATAAATATTCATTGAATATCGAATATCTAAATCATAAATATTCATTGAATATCTAAATCATAAATATTCATTGAAGATCTAAATCATAACTATTCATTGAATATCTAAATCATAAATATTCATTGAATATCTAAATCATAAATATTCATTGAATATCTAAATCATAAATATTCATTGAAGATCTAAATCATAAATATTCATTGGATATCTAAATCATAAATTTTCATTGAAGATCTAAATCATAAATATTCATTGGATATCTAAATCATAAATATTCATTGAATATACAAATTAAGAATATTCTTTGAAGATCTAAATCGTAATTATTCATTGAATATCTAATTAATTTTAGAGTGTCAACTTGCACATTATTGTAGTTTTCTCAAATCACGCTCCGAGACATTGATACCGGTATATACAAATAAAAATTATTCATTGCTATTTTCATTTTCCCAATATGTAGGGCCTACGCTGCTCTTAAATACATAATGCAAGAGCTAAATCCGTCTATTGCAGGTCTTTCTTTAGGTCTGAAATGTTATCTAAATTATTAATTAGACATTAATTTACCTATCCAGACCATAATCAACACTCGCTGCCATCGCTAGCTTGCGATAATAACTGTATTTGAATATATTTTGTGCTGGATGATTTAACGACAAAATGGATAATCGAGACTTTTTTTTATCGTCATATTTTAGTAATGATGATGGAGGCTATGCCTAAAATTCAATCGCTAATATCTCAGTTCAGAGTGGCGCAATTTGACTGAAGTTTTCAGCATATTCTCTTTACGTTATCTATTTCTTAACTATTATAGCACGAACTGTCAGCTCTTTATCTAATCTCCCACATTTTAGCGTTTTCCGAGATTCTATCCGGATTATCGCCCTTATTGTTAATATTGTTTGATGTTCTAACTCATGACGTCAACTGGAAGACTATCGCCATTGAGGAGACGACCACTGTCGAGACTGGTCGCATTATTTCTGTTACGTCTTTTTAGTAAATCTTTTTTTTTTTCATTTTTAGAGAAGCCTGTACCATAACAGGCCCGGGACTGTACAGCACAGACAGTGGACGCTTACGGCTGGCCCACGGATCCATTCACTTGATTTGATATTTGTTTATTTGGTGTAATGTCTATTTTCTGTCTTGTCCGCGGGTTTATCTTGTAGATTTTTGTTTTGCGTGTAGTGCGGTCCTCCTGCATAACCTATAATTCCCCTATAAGGGTACGTAAAAAAAACTACGTATTATTACACGTATATTCATTAATAACAACTCAATATACAAATCTTGATATTCACAATTACTGTGAAATCTCGGCACCTCTACACTATCAATCTGATTAAAACACAGATCCTATTTCGTTTCGTTTTTTTTTATAGTTCAAAATTTCGTTTTACTTGTCTTTACTACACTGGGATCTGGAAGATTTGTTATATTACCGGCGTTCTGGTTGAAGTGAGGAATTAGCCAATCAAACGGTCTGTTAAGGCGAGATCTTGGCGTGTGATGCACGGAACTGTAGGTAAACCAGTAGAAACGTCAACGCTGGTTGATTAATCAAAATCTAAAGTCATAGGGTCAAAAGCCGATCGTACGGCCCTTGACGCGACCTTCCACTACAACCGGCAAAATCTTCGTGTAGTAGAGTCCACCGAAAGTATTAATAAAAAAACGAAACGAAATATTTTAATCAGATTGCTAATTTATTGGGTGTGTTCCCACTTAGCCGGCAGACTGTTAATCCTTTGATTGATCTTAAAACTATAGTCTGTTTAAAAGTAGTCACTCAAGAACTGTTCACTAGTGTTCAGCGTTAATAAGCTCTAAATCCCTCTAAGTTGAATAAAATGACAGCATGCCATCCTAATATTTACAAGTTCATTAACTTAATAAAACAAGAACAATCCTATGTCGAAATCACCATTTCACAGATATTATTTGGTGGTACCAAAAGGCCTCGAGTTAAGAAATATCGACAACTTGATACAAGAATTGAACATTTGAAAACACAGTTATTAAATGGCTCTTTAAGTGTAAATCGGTATGGAACAAATATTTCCTATTTAGTGGGGCTGTTAAATGATCGTTATGTTGTAAGGCATTTATTTATAAATTATATAATGCTATTTAATATAAGTTAAATGTGTAAATTGTAATGCATTTTTATATGTGTAAATCATTTAATGTTATTTAATAAATATTAAATTTGTTAAAATCAATATATTTTTATATGTGTAAGCTATTTAATGTTATTTAATAATTTGATTATTTATTTGATTATTTAATAAAAGTTAAATTTGTTCAAATCAATACAGTTTTAGTCTTAAAAAAGATATGGACTATAGTTTATAACACCATTGTTCTAGGATTAGCTCTGGATTAGCGGCAAAATTTGACATCAAAGCCTGCCGGCTAAGTGGGAACACCCCAATTTATTGACTTTACAAATTAATGAACTTACTGTGAGGTTAAACCATTATCATCTCCAGGTGATAAAATATATCTTTGTTGTGTTTTACTTGAACTAAATGGTATATCAACAGATACTGTTTCACTTCCAATATTCATTATATATACCGTTATACTGCCTGGTTTATAACCTATACTACTGTAATATATAATATACCATTACACTCCCTGGTTTATAAAAATATACCGTTATACTGCCTGGTTTATAACCTATACTACTGTAACAGATGAAATATAATATATCCTGTGTTTAATATATGAATTGTTATTCTATCCTATATTCAATACTGCTGTAATGGATCTAATCTAATAACCCGTTCTTATATGAGATGGGATACAAAAAGAAATCTGCCTCTTTTAAGTATAACGGGATTTTAAAAATACCTGTTTCTATTTGTACAATGAGCATAGACTCGAACATTAAGATCTGTAGTTTGTGTTACATTAAAAACAGGACTACCAACCAGTCTTTTATATAAAACCGTCAACCAATAATCCTACAACAAATCAGTCAATCATTTTTTTATTTTCGCATTGATAAAAAATATTTTATGAACACTGATAAAAACAATTTATGAACGTTGTTGAAAAAAAAAGCCACTATAACATGCATTATATAAGATTTAGTGAAAAATAGCTGACAGTTCTGGCTATAATAGTTACACAATAGATAATGACAAGGGAATTGAGAGAGAGAGAGAGAGAGAGAGAGAAAGAGAGAGAGAGAGAGAGAGAGAGAGTTTAACATCCACTCGACACAAACTAGGTCATTTCGGGACTAACACGGGGTTCAATTTTATTTCAGTAATTCGCTTGCGTGTAGGGGTCTTTAGTAGTGGGAGGAAACCACAGTATCCGATGCCATCGATGATTATGGTCGTGACAAATTAATAATTCATATAATATTTAAGGACTAAAAAAGAAGGGAGAGTGAGAACTGGGTTTTAACGTCCACGCGACACAAACTAGGTCATTTGGGGACTAACCAATGGTTCAATTTTATTTCAATAATTCGCTTGCGCGTAGGGGCCTTTAACAGTGGGAGGAAACCGGAGGACCCGAAAAAAAACCCACCAGGTTGGACAGGCGACCATATCCTTGTCACGTACAACCGGGGAGTCGAAACCACGCCAGTAGACTCAATGACAGACCTTGTGATATAGCGCGCACGCGCTTACAATTCGGTCATAAAAAACAAGGACTAAATAAACAATTGCTCTTAAATAAAGACACGTTTCCTCGCCAGTCGAGAAACTATAAAAACATAACCAGGGATAAGGAATTTTTCGAATCTATAACCTGCGTTGATGGGGGTGTGTTTTAGAATGGATTAATTCTTACTGGATTAGGATTTAGATTGACATCTAGTAAACTGTATCGAACATAAACACCATAAAAACTCTGTCTTAATATAGTCTGTAATCCATGTAGAGCTGATAAACCCATTTTATCTAACCACCTGTGAATTATAAAAAATATTAGATCCTTTATGGTACATGCATACTCTTAGGCCCTTTTTCCATGAACACGTTTTCGCCACGTTTCCACCCTCATTTTCGCCGACCAAAAAGTCGGACTAATGCAGTGATTCTCAGCCATTGTGCCGCGAGATCTTCCTAAGTGTGCCGTGAAAATGCGAAAAACCACGTCATCCCAATTGAGTAGTCAGTTGTGTCTACTGATAAGTTCATAGCTGTGTTTTTCTTTATTTAGTTTGAGTCATTCTATGTGTCGTTAACTAGTCTCTGTCTACGGTTGTATGCCGTCTATGACTAGAATAGAACCCAGGATCTCTTAGATGAAACAGCAACATACTCAACGAGCCACCGTGACTCCAGAAGGCGATGAGACCACAATAGAAAAAAAAATAAAAGTAGATTTATTCACATTAAAGATGCATTATGTAAGAGCAACATTTGCCAATTGCGGATTTTTTTTTTCTTTGGCTTCAAATGTTATTTAAATTTAAAATCTTAGGTCATGGAGGGGTTTAGATACTTAATGGATTAGATGATGATCTAGCAATGGTACTTTGACGGAAATTTTAAACATAATATTCATTTTTATTATCTATTTTTAAAACTATTATAGCAAGAATAGCTAGCTCTTTATCTAAATCTAACATAATGCCCCTTTAATAAAACTGGGATCCCTTTTTCACTACTTACATAAAACCAGCAGCATATCTGTCAGAGATGTTCACAGCTCCCCCGTCATAACACGATGACGTTTCACCCAACCAACACTGTTTACCAGGTGCGTTCTCGTTACACGTTCTCACAAACGACTCAACTTCCGGTATAAATTTATCTAAAATTTTTCTGTCAGTAAAATCGCTTAAATTGGCTGTGCTACCTTTTTCATAATAACTAAAAGAGAAAACATGTCATAAATAAACATAGAACATCTATGGCTATTAAGGCCCGCTTTCCATCTTAGCTCAGGGGGGTTGGATGGCTGAATGGTTAGAGCGTGCGCGCGCTGTATCATAAAGTCTGTCATTGAGTCGACTGGCGTGGTTTCGAATCCCCGGTTGTACGTGACAAGGAGTAGGGTCGCCTGTCCAACCTCGTGGGTTTTCTCCGGTTTCCTCCCACTGCTAAAGACCCCTACGCGCAAGCGAATTGTTGAAATAAAATTAAACCATATGTTAGTCCCGAAATGACCTAGTTTGTGTCGAGTGGACGTTGAACCCCATTTCTCTCCCTCTCTCTCTCCATCTTAGCTCAGTCGGAGCAGAACAGTAGAACGTAAAGCACCATTTCATTTTATTTCCAAGAATGCGTTTTCGCCAGCGATTGTTTATGTATCCAAGTGTACGGAAAAATCACTGAAAGGTTTTACGAATCCCACGTGAAATGAAATGAAATGAAATGGAGTTTAACGTCCTACTTTTCTGCTCCTAACCTGGGCTAATGAAGACGGGCATACGCCATACAGTGTGCTATGAGGGAAATTTTGCCCGGACAGCGGCACTACGGCCTACTCTTATATCGAATTCCAACTGCCAAGGGATCTTTTACGTGCACGCCAATGTGTACACGGGACCTCGGTTTTTCGTCCCATCCGAACGACTAGACAGCTTTCCTTGCCAGCCCCTCCGTCCTGCATAACTGACAAGGGAGAACCACGCCGGAAAATCTGGATGAACTTTCTCGGCCAATGCAGGGATCGAACATCCGACCTCCAGGCTAGCGAGCTAGCGTCTTACCCACTTAGCCACGTGATCCCCCCGAATCCCACGTAAACGACGTCATAAGTGAGGATTTCTATTCACGGAGAAATGAAATGGGGTTTAGTGTCCTACTGTTCTGCTCCGAACTTGGCTAATGAAGGCGTACATACGCCATACAGTGTGCTATGAGGGAAATTTTATTAACGTGTACGCCATTGTGTGCATCTGAACGACGGCTGTTCTTCGTCCCCGACAAGAGGAAACCACGCCGGAAAAACCCAAGGAACAGTCTCGGCAAACACCAGGAACAAACCTGAGACATCCAAGTGCGCGAGCAACTGAACCACCGCGGCTCTTTTTTTACAGAGAGGAGACCGGCATTGTTTTCCTTTTATCTCGGCCATTTTGAAAACCATTAATAAACACAATGTCAAAAACTCTGTCATTTTGAAGCTGAACATGCAGCAACAAGAGCGGTTGATCGACATAGTCGAAGTTGAACCTAAACATCCGGTTGGGTAGGCATGCGCAAAGCAAATGTGAGGGAAAATGCGGGGAAAAGTCGTTAAGCGACGAACTTTGTTTTCTCGATCATGCATGGAAACGGTCCCACATACATAGAAAGCGGGTCTTAATTAGATTTTAAGTGACCCACGTGACACTCGATTCGCCCAATTAGATACCCAGAAATCTGACATCCATTTGTGTCTATTCCACGTTCGATGGAGAAAATAAAAATAAATTTAATAAAGATTTTCATTGGTTAAACAAAGCCGCCAAATAAACCACGTCTTAAAAAGCAGATGGTGAACTAATTAAAGGGAAACTTTCGTGTTTAAATCTTTTTTAATGTTCAAACTATTATGTAACTTACTGATGAACGGTACAGACATCTACTGAATTAGCTCCACCAGCCTGCAAAAACCTTTAATTTAAAAATATGTCATTTTGGAAAAAGGTATAGAACAATAGAGAGAGAGAGAGAGAGAGAGAGAGAGAGAGAGAAATGGGGTTTAACGTCTACTCGACACAAACTAGGTCATTTCGGGACTAACACATGGTTCAATTTTATTTCAATAATTAGCTTGCGCGTAGGGGTCTTTAGCAGTGGGAGGAAACCGGAGGACCCGGAGAAAATCCACGAGGTTGGACAGGCGACCCTACTCCTTGTCACGTACAACCGGGGATTCGAAACCACGCCAGTTGACTCAATGACAAACCTTATGATACAGCACGCACGTGCTAACCATTCGGTCATCCACCCCCGCTAAAACAATAAATGTCCACTATTATAGTCCTATTCAACAAGTATTAAGTTCTTTGGTCCGTATTATAGCAATTCATTACTTCTGAAAGGAGGTGATACTGCTATTAGCATTGGAAAAACCAAATGGCAGTACTCTCGATTTACCAGATCGTCAACTTTCTTAAACTCAGAAATAATCACTATTCATGTATTTGTGGGGTGATTCTGGGGTATTTTTTGAAAATATTAGTCCAGTGACGACCTAACACAAAATTAATAGGTGTAACAACAGGGTTCATCAACCCCAAGCCCATGCGTCAAACACAGCGTATTGGATGATTAGGAGCCGCGCAGCATCCCTGTGACTTTTGTGATAATCAAGTAAGGCAGTGAGAAAACCCACGAAGTTGGACAGGCGATTCTACTCCTTGTCACGTACAACCGGGGAATCGAAACCACACCAGTTGACTAAATGACAGACCTTATGATACAGCGCGCATGTGCTACCATTCGGCCATCCAACCTCATGCGTTACAATATAAAAGGTGAAAATCACAGTTACTTCTCAGTGTAAGAATGGGTGATCCCAGCAGTATCCGGTCCAATTGTTAAAAATGGCGGAACACCACTTGCCGTTAATACAGATTTAAAGGATGCAAAATCTTTAGCCAATTGCTGTGGTGATATCGCATCTTCTGCAGGAATGTCATCCGGTTCTGAAATACAAATTATTAGTATCTTTTGGTTTCCTTTTGACTATTTTTATATTTTATTTTTATCAAAAAATATAACCACTTGAATAGTTTTCCGACGTGGTTCCCCTTGTCAGTGATGCAGGACGGGGGGCCTGACAAGGACAGTTGTCTAGTCGTTCAAATGGGACAAAACCCGAGGTCTCGTGTACACATTGGCGTACACGTAAAAGATCCCTTGACAGTTAGAATTCGATATAAGAGTAGGCCGTAGTGCCGCTGTCCGGGCAAAATTTCCCTCATAGCACACTGTATGGCGTACGCCCGTCTTAATTAGCCCAGTTCGGTGCAGAACAGTAGGACGTTAAACCCCATTTCATTTCATTTCATTTAAATAGACCTTTCCAGTTAACTGTAAAATCTAGCTTAGTCTTCGAATTAAAGACGTTGCCATGCCTAACCTATGGTAACTTTGCAATTACTTTCATATTATTTTCCAAACTCTGTTCCATATAAATTTGGTATGATCTTTAAAAATACATCTGAAGCTGCGATTCAAGTCATCGTTTGGGGACATATCTCTCATGATTTTTAAGATATTAAATTTTGAAATCAACCTAAAACTGATCAATTTTCGTCATAAATCTAAAACGTTCTCAGTCTTGCCTGATCCGAATAAAATAATTTTTGGCATGCAAATATAACTTTTATAATTATCTACCACTTCCCTTACAGATTGGGTGGGGAGAGGGGGGGGGGGTCCGAATTGTTAGCACGCGCACGCTGTGTCAGACGGTCTGTCATTGAGTCAGTTGGCGTGGATTCGATTCTCCGATTGTACATGACAAGGAGTGTAGGGTCGCAGGTCCAACTTGATGGGATTTCTTCGGGCTCTCCAGTTTCCTCCCACTGCTAAAGGCCCCTATGATTCAAATAAAATTGAACCATATGTTTGTCCCGAAATGGCCTAGTTTGTGTCGAGTGGACGTTAAACTCCCCCTCTCCCTCTCCCCCACCCCTCTCTCTCTCTCTCTAACAGATTTATAAAGTTTATACCATTTCCTAATTCGTAACCAGCCGGTTTATAACCCTGTTTCACGGTATATTCTAACAGTTCTATAGCATTGCTTGGATCCCAGTTACCATTTTTACGTAGAAATACGTTGAAATCAAAAATTAGATCCCATCCGACATCCATCACAAAATGATTCAAATTATCCCAATCAGCAACTGAAATCAAAATGAAAACTGATATTGGATGCCTGGAACGAAGCAACAGAGCTTACATAAAAGTACACAAACGATTCCACTGCTCCGAAACGACTACCATTGGATTAGGGACCAGATTTAACCCCGATTTTTTTCCGGATCAGTGTCATCAACAAGCGGTTGCCATTCAAGATATACCTAAAATTTGCATGAGATGGACGAAGAACCGGGGAAATCGGTAGAGCGCATCCCCTCATTGTTTAAATGCTTAAAACCTGTTAACAAATATGTAGCCTCTATCACGTTCAAAATGTTTTGGGCAAAGGCCGATAACTCCGGAACGTAAGTTTGCGTAACGTTTATTATCGATGGGGTTCATCCTATCATGTCTGCAATGCTTCGCCTTCAACCCAAAAAACATCTGTTGAAAACTATACCTCTATCGCATTCACAAGGGTTTTGGAAAGTGGGGTATACTTCCAAAATGGAACAATCGGATTAAAATACAGATCTATATTTCGTTTCGCTTTTTTATACCTTCGATGACCTGTGTTTTAATCAGATTGAAACGGTAGGTCCCATGGGCACCAAAATTAAACTATTGCGGGTTTCACTATCCCAGTTGGAGCAGAAAATTAGCATCTCCCCCCACCCCAATAAAAAATAAAAAATAGAATGGTGCCCAGAAAATTAGCATGGCCCCCAGAAAATTAACATGCCCCCCCCCCCCAAAAAAAAAAATAAAAAAAAAAAGTTAACATGACCCCACCAAAATAATAATAAAACTAACCTGTCATGGTGAAGTTAGTTTCCTGGTTTAATTGACTTGTATGTTGAGTGTTATTGAAGATTACATAATTACACGGGGTGCCACCTATACGTAAATATGATGGTGATATTCCTTTTGCTAAGGTCAGCAACTTCGGTGATCTGAGGTATAAATAAATGCCTAGTTTGAGTGAAGTCTGTCCCATTACAGAAATGAAATGAAATGAAATGGGGTTTAACGTCCTACTGTTCTGTTCCGAACAGGGCTTATGAAGATGGGAATACGCCATACAGTGTGCTAAAGACCCCTACGCCAAGCGAATTATTGAAATGAAATTGAACCCTGTGTTAGTCCCAAAATGACCTAGTTTGTGTCGAGTGGACGTTAAACACCATCTCTCTCTCTCTCTCTGTGTGTCTCTCTTTCTCTCGTTATCTGCAGACACGTGGAGAGTAGCGTCCAATCAGAGGTTGTGACATGGCGACCTCCACGGAAACCTTGACAATGAGCCTTGAACTTTGCAACTCGATTATCACAGGTAGACATTTTAGCTTGAAAGCGCGAGACTTGGTATACGCGATGATCGAGGAATCTGATAGGCTCCCGAGCTGTGTGAATACCTAATCGAAATTAGTGCCGAAATATGCAGGGTATTACGTGAAGGCCTTGATAAGATGTACGTAGTTAAAGCGCGATCAAGCCTCCTATTAAATATGGAGACACTTTAAGGAATTAGCAATTGTCGCCATTATTTTTCACATTTTTATTTCTACACTATATATCTATAAGGTTTTAAATGTCACATGCATGACATGCACGTGCAACAGAATTTTGCAAAGAAACTGTTAATTATCCACAGCATTTCCCAAAAGTACTTACGTAAAATTAAAATTTCCCCATTTGTATCTAATGGTCACGGAATCTATGCAAACTCCAATAAACTTTGAGCTGATATTTCTGACTGCCGGGGCTGATTCGATGTCAATGGTGATACATGAAACGTTGCAGGTAAAAACCAACAAAATAAACGCCCATAAATGACCCGCCATATTGCAAAGATTTTTTACTTCTAAATGTACAAAGTGTGTATCGGACATATGTATTTGTGTTTGATAAAGTCACGTGACTACCCATATATCCCATATGTGCAGGCTTTTATCGAGTAGGCTAGTAGTGAATTGTGTTATCGTTTGATAAAATCACGTGATTATCATCCTTGGACTGTCTAATTAAAATAGACTAAAGAGAGAGAGACAGGGAGAGAGAGAGACATGGGGTTTAACGTCCACTCCACACAAATTAGGTCATTTCGGGCTCGTATGACCTCTGACGCAATCTATCGCTACAACCGGTCAGATCTTCATGTAATGTAGGTCATCGAAAGTATAAAAAAACGAAACGAAATATAGATCTGTATTTGAATCAGATTGCCAGAAAACATAAATATTTTTTTTATTTAGAAATACGTTTTCATTCGGGGATTGTATGGCCGAATGGTTAGCGCGTACACGTTGTATCATAAGGTCTGTCATTGAGTCAACTGTACGTGACAAAGAGTAGGGTCCCCTGTCCAACCTCGTGGGTTTTCTTCGGGTCCTCGGGTTTCCTGCCACTGCTAAAGACCCCTACGCACAAGCGAATTATTGAAATAAAATTGAACAGTATGTTAGTCCCAAAATGACCTAGTTTGTGTTGAGTGGATGTTAAACCCCATTTCGCTCTCTCTCTCTCACGTTTTCATTCTTTTTTAACCCATGAGCTACTCTTCTAAAAAGGCCTAAGGCTCCGCAAATCCACGTACGATCGATATGAAACTTGACTTGTTGGTTCCTTGGACAATATTGTGCATCGATTTTTGATATGAAGTCTAAATCCAAGATGGCAGCGATGACGTCATACTCGGTTTCAGGTAATTTTATATTTCTATGGTTCCTGGGGCGTAATTCATGAACACTTAAAGTCAATCTAATTAAAATATAGATCTATATTTCGTTTCGTTTTTTATACTTTCGATGGCCTACACTACATGTAGATCTAACAAGTTATAGTGGGAGTTCACGTTCTATGACGTCAGGTACCAAGCAAGCGACATTTGACCCGGTTACGTCAGTCATTTGATTAACCAATTAGTGACCGCCATGTTAAATCGAAATTTTGAACTATAAAAACGAAACGAAATTGGATCTGTGTTTTAATCAGATCGACTTAAACTAAGCTATTTTAAGGATTCAACAATTTCATTGGTTGAGAGTAAGTTACAAGCCTAGTACAAATTTTATCTTTTGGTCAATGAAAGGGCTGAATTGTTAAAATATTGTAGTTTAAAGGCTCAATACCACTCTTGTTGTAACTGAATAATATGTCCCAATCTTTATTCTGGTCAACAAATTGCACTATTTTACAATATTCCAATTAATTGATGATACAAATTTCATCTTAACATACCTCTTAATTGGAAAAATTTAACTAAATGATTTGGAAAGCCTGACGTAAAGCTTTTCAAATGCGACATCGATTTAAAAATAATTTTGAACCCTTTGGACAAGTAAAATAGGATTTAATGGATAATTTACACAACAGGTAGGACACTAACACATCTAGTACTTAGAATAAGGCTATTTTTATATTTTGGAGCTGTCAAGCCAGCAAGAGTGTTATTGACCCTTTAAGATGTCTTGAATAATGTGCCTGGTTCATAGTTATCTCCTACTTGTTAAAGCCGACCTCCAGAAGACCAACTGTTTATCGTTATTTTTATCTTTGGGCTTTTGATGATTTCGTTTTCCGTTTTCTTTCTTTCTGTTCCGTGTTTTATATGCATACATAGAAAGGTTAATCATTGAGACGTGTTGTTATAGGCGTTATAATATAAATAGCGTATCACGGCATGTGATCACGCTAAGATTTCGATCCTTATTTGTAAACTTTCCACAGTGTTGCGCAATAATTTGTCTGCGATATCACAGCAGGTGGAAGCGAATGTAAATTCCAATATTGGCAAACCTCCGTAAAACACTGGGTATCGAAAGAAAGGTATGCCCTCTGGGCTAAATATAATCGTTAAGGCCAGCTCCATTTTTGTCAAGGTCGCTGAGATGTAAATAAGGTTAGGGCATGAGATGGTTGGCGAGATTATAGGTTAGGTTTAAGAATTTGGGGGAGAGGTTAAGTCTGACCTAGGATGATGAAAATTTGGTTCGTGATATTTTCTAGTTTTATTAAAAATACATGCAATACATTAGATTTATATACAAAGTTGGTTTCGCTGTTTTTGTTGTTGGCGGCGCTGATGGTCTTCCTTCGGTGTCGCTTGTGGTATTCTGGTATTTTGGTATTTGTTATTGCTGAAGAAAAAAAATAATTAGAATGTTACAATATTGTAAAGGCGTTAGGCGTATACTCACTAACCAGGCCGTCCGGGGTTCGATCCCGAGGTCGGCCGGGCGAGTTCCTATGGATTTTGCAGCGTGGTTTCCGGTTTTCAGTACAGGACGGGGTACTTGACAGTCGTTCAGATGAGTCCTCTGTACTCATTAGTGGTAAAAAACCCAACAACTTGACAGCGTGTTTAACCAGTTCTATCACATATGTAATAATGGCTGACACCAATATTGTCCTTTAATAGCATGCATACAAATAGTATCAATTTGTATGACATATTTCTAGTACCAATTTGATGACATGTCTGAAAATTAGAAGTTAAAATATCCTGTCTATTATCTATTAAACTAATCTTGGTTATTTATCACAAAGCGATTAACGGGTTTTGAAACGACAACGTGCTTTATCAAATCGCAAGTCAATCTAATCATTAATATGACCTTAAAGAAATTTATATCAGTTAATAATCTTTCAAGAAATCTAACTCAAACAAGTTATGTACAACAAAAGGTTGATGCGCGTAATATTGTAAGAACAGATATTATGTCTCGACATTTATTGGTGTTTATTTTGTTGGTTTTCACCTATAATGTTTCATGTATCACCATTGATTTGGAATCAGCCCAAGCAGTGAGAAATGTTAGTTTAAAGTTTGTAGGAGTAACTCTAGATTCTGGTCTTATCAAGAACAAATGGAAAACTTTTAATTTAACGTAAGTATTTTTTAAAAATGCATTTTACCCCACATTGGTTGTTTATATCTACCACTATACCCACCATTCCCAGGGTCAGGGGAGGGAGGGGGCGAATGGTTAGCACGTGTGCGCTGTATCATAAGA